ACGGCGTCAGATCAAACCCCGACTGTGTGCTGGTAAAGTGCCGTTCGAGACCCCAAACCTTTGCAGAAAATCGTCCGCTTTGTGAACTGGCGTCGTATGTCAAAAGTATGACTGCAGTAAAGTCAAGACGTCTGAACGACGCGGTTGTAAGCTCGCGACGAGTCTCGGGTCGTGTCCCACGTGGTGGTTCTGAGACACAAGTTGGAAATTCCACGTTCCTATGGTGGAACCCGTATATTCATGGCACGACAACATGCGTCGACTGCCCATCAACTCGCTGTGCATCGGTGCTTGCTAAATCCCTGCCGGGGAGGGGTTGGGGGGGGATCACGACGATGATAATCAGGTGAATCAATCCTGGCCGGAATATGAATTCACAATCTCGTGACTGTGAGCTTTGTGAGCCGAGCTAGAGTACAGTATATCCCGGCCATTAGCGTACACATTACACAGTATTCATTACGCATACTGTAAGCTCGCATGGTTTGTGCAGTGCTTTGTGCGCGTGTGTGCGTGTTACATATCTGTGTCGCATCTGCGTGTGCTCCAGGGCGTTATGAAATGCAAGTTGTTACGTGTTTATGGAAATGCCTGAAGCTCGCACAACCAAACAAAGGCGACTCTTACGAAGACGGCGTTGCGACGGGAGCCTTAAGACGCTGTACAACACCGTAGCCTGCCACAATGCTGAGGAAATGAATGAAAGTACTTTTTTCTCTCCAAACTTTTGATCGATGGGCGAGAGTTGCACGGAACCGTCTAGGACATTCCCACGATTGCCCTGGGCACCGAACTTCATGGAATTGGCATTTTTATTACGATCGGTTTTTGCAAAAACAAAAAAAATTCTACAAAATGGCGCCATGAGCATCATTTCTGCCTGCTGGGGGGGGGGGGTAGCTTCGTGTAGTGGTGGTGTAACATCCTCTCCTGTGCTGTGATACTGCAATGATGGGGGTACAGTCATCGGCATCGATATTTAATATCTCGGCAAGCCCGAACGTTTGTTATCGCGCTCTCCGTTGAGTCTAGCCCATCACAAATACACGCTTACCAACAACATAGTTGGCTGCTTGGAACAACACCGGTTTCAATCCGTTTGCAAAATTGGCTCGGACTCGAGGAAACATCCAGCTGCTCTGTTCCTAAACATCTTTACCGATGTGGAATGCCCAATGCTGCAGCTCATTTGGAAAGGGTCTTTGGCTTCATTCGACATGAACGTGTCTCTTTCCTCCACCACCGTGTGAGTCATAAATCAGGAACATTAATAAAGAATTTTTAAGTGAAGTCTTAACAATAAAAGGTAGAAACGTGAATGGAAAAGTATTTTGGAATCTCAGATTTTTGCAAATGTGCAGTTGTTCATTGGATTGAGGAGGTTTTGGTCAAGATGAGAAAAAGAAAGTACATTTTTACGTAAAACTATTTTACCAACTGAAATCAATCGTGACGCACTTTGTTTGGCGAGACATTTAAATTACAGAAAAATATGGCACATTTTATATATATACCTAATTATTGTTACAACAATGCTTGTTTACCCACGTAAGTGTCACTCAGCCTGACGATGACTTTTCAGTAGGGTCCTGCCAAGTTTGCTTGGTCAGGGCCACTGATATCGCTGTCCGTCTTCCACTTCAGTCGTTTGCAGGAAATTTATTTCTTCCAAATTTGACAAATGTGGCCAGTGATGGTCTACTATTGCAGAATGACTTCACGGGATCTTGGAACGTCCACTGTATATCAGGCGACGCATATTTTTGAAATTGTGTTCGTTGAACTTCTTTCACGCCGTACGTAGCCATTTTACCGGTTAACATACCGGCAGGATTAATCGGGGCGGCCACCACGGGATTCAAACCGCGAGCCTCTGGAGCAAGCGGCAAAAACACGCCACCGCTGGGCCACTTGACCGGCTCTTTGGGAAACCGAACGTGATCGTGAAGAGCACCGCAGTGCTGTATATCTGATCTGTTTAGAACAGTGGGCGTCAGTCCACCAAGCGACGTGATCAATGTTGGTGGATCTCAACGGGTTCTGCAACCCACCAGAAAGCTGTGTGACAAAAAAAAGAACTCCGATTTAACCTGCTAGTGCCCAAGCATGTTTTTGTTTGTACGAGGAAAGCTACTTTATTCATGCAAGGAGATTCCGCAAAGCACTGCGTACGTAACGCGCAATTAAGGCCCACCGTCGTGAAATCTGGTCAACAAGTTGTCCATTAAAATGTCACAACAGTATTCTTGAAAAAAGTAAATAAATCAAATGCAAAAAAAACGATGAAAGAGCCTCAGGGACGCGTTGATTTTATTCAGATGCAGTGCATCACTAGGCCCAACTTAGGCTCCGCCACGTGCGCGACCAACTAGGCCCCACGCTAAGGCTCCCCCATACGTGAGACCAACTAGGCCCGAGCACATGCATGTCCAGCTAGGCCTGACGCTAAGGCTCCCCCATGCGTGAGACCGACTAGGCCTGAGCACATGCATGTCCAGCTAGGCCCCACGCTAAGGCTTGAACACGTACACGACCAACTAGGCCCGACTCAGTGTGTGCGATTAACTAGGCCCCAATGGCCATTCACACAGTTATCGTGAACCAACGTTATACTCTGTGTACAATGAAAAGTTAGCGAATGTGTTTGTGCACCTAACAGTTTTCGACTAGTCATGACTAGGCCCACGGATACAGCAACCTCCTTTGCCACTCAATAACTAAGGACCACAACCCACGTTGTGACTTTTGTACCGTTTTACATACTTTATATTACCACGATCAGATTTTGCTAATAATTACCATTCTATCTTTAACAAACGTAGATTCATGCAATACCTTAAAACCTCTTCATTCGTGGATTTATCTATTGCGAAATTCGAATTCTCTTGGCGATTGTGTATTTGTATACCAGTTTAAATTTCGCCCCTTTTTAAATCCTTTATATTAAGTTCGCTTGCTTGCTTGCGTGCTTGCTTGCTTGCTTACGACCGTGCAAATATTTCGGTCGTTTTTTAACCCACTTCCCGTGATCCAATCGAGCTGACATTTTGCACACAGACTCGTTGTGCGAGACAATTAATGTTCGTGAAATTTTTTTTCCAAAATTTTACACTTTTTAGGGAAAACAAATTAAATATTTAATTACCAATCGCTTAATGCTGGCAGACAATCATCTGACCCATAGGTGGCAGCCATCTCAAGCCAGATGACGAGAGGACTCTAGCCGCCACGCATATAAATAATTTATAGTGAAAAACTTTGTTTTTACGGGTTAATTTTTTCCTTCCTACTTAGCGATTTGGCAGCGGCACATCGTGAGGGGACGGCCACTGTACTTGCACAGTCCAGCAGTGGATTGTTGGCCACAGTGTCCGCTCCACAATGGTGAAGGTTTTATTGTTCAAGTGCCACAGCCTTTTTGTGCTTATTGTGTGTGCCTCGTGGTGTGCGGTGGGTTTTTACTCATTCATTTCGGTCATGGGGTTTAAGCGTCAGAAAGGGCAGTGATGAGTTTCAGATCAAAAATAAGAGTTTGTTGGATAGACTTGCTCGTGGCGGTCAAGCGTCCGCTGATGGACCAACACCAGTTGACAGATTTATCAAGAAAAGCGAGAAGGTGAATTGGGAAAGTTTAGCACGGGCAAGTGCACCGATGTCCGCCAAAGTAGCATCATCATTGTCACATCATCGTCATCATCCTCCAAGGTAAATCAAACTTCCTAATTTACAGTATAATCTGTTGATCTGTTCTGTTGTATTATTTGTGTTTTATTATATATATGTGTGTGGTTGTGCAATTTAAATAACCATGTGGATGTTATTTATGTGTGTCATAACAGGACTAATGTTATGAAACATTTTCATTTTCTCCCCGTATGTTCAGTCGGACACGGGAACCTAACCCCCTTGTTCCCACGTAAACTCGGTACAGGTAGTCCCCGACTTACGACGAGGTCGTAACGCATTTCCATCGTAAGTCGAGGACTAACTGTACCTCCTTTCGCGTATTCTCTTTCCGCGCAGACTTCCAGGAACAGAACCCCACCAGGATGTCGAGGAAGCTAGACGTGTGATTTGCGTTGCTCTGGAAATTACGGACGGCTATAGATTAGAATTCAAATATCCAAGATCCTTTGTGCTCAGTGTCACCTTCCACGTGACACTGATCTGTGGGTCACGTGACACCCTCGCGCACCACGTGACTCTGACCTGCAGGTCACCACGGTGGCGAGATGTTACAGCTGCCTCGCGGATTTTTCCCCGGGTCCTCCTGTTTTTCCCTCCACATTTAGAATCAACATCTTGAACTATGGCTTGTAGCCAGGTCGCTACTCAAAAAGGAGCCGTTACGTAGCCCAGTGGGCCTTACCTGGTAAAATAAAATCTTTCATAGTTGAAGTCACATGTCCCCTCTCCCCTTAGTGTGTCTTGAGGAAAGGATGGGCATTAAAGTACTGCTCCCTCTGCCTGAATGCAATCGTAACTCGGCGCTGTACACGCCCACTATTGTACGCTTACTCGAGTGATTATTGTAATTGATCCTGAGATTTACGAAATATATTTTCGATCCATCTGTGGATCGGGATCCACACATTAACCACATTTGCAAACGGTGCACGCTCCCGGCCGTGACGTGGATCAGAAAATGCGAATAAAAAAAGGTGTGTATGTTGAACCTCTTTCGCATCATACGTAGCCAACCGTGCTAATTGGAGGTGCGGGGAAAGGAAAAGCAGTTCTAAAGAAATTAGTTTTGAATTTAGATTTTAAAGTGCAAAGCTCCAGTGGTTTCCTAATATCGGATGGAAGAGCGTTCCAGACGGCCGCAGAAGCGCATGTGAAAGCGCCGCGCGATGCGGTGACCGCCGCCTTTGTTGGATGGCTGCTGTGGAGTTCGCGTGATGATGGTTCATGCTCCTTGATGAGATCAGCGAGGTGTTGTGGTTCATTTGTGGCGAGCAATTTGTGTGTAATTAGCGCGACCTTATCTATTCGTTCAGCAACTGGAAGCCAATGCAGCTCGGCGAGCAGCGGACGGACATGGTCGGATCTTGCAGTACCCATCGCGGATCTTGCAGTACCCCTCTGGGGTTGTGATAGGCTGCTATAAGGTAAAGAGAATACAGTCTACAACTGCAGCCTGGTAATTATTGCATGCTTGTGTGTTGGCAGAAGTGCCTCCAATATAGAGAGTTCTAGAGAGCTGTTCTGGAAGGTATTTGGCCTACTCTTCCACACTGGCCATGTGTCACGGGAGAGGTACGAGTACCCACATTGTACCCCACTACACAGGACCTGCCGATCGACTAACTGCACTGTTACCCGCTCATGCTGCTCGGGCGACCGATGCGTGGAGATTCAAGAAACCTTGACCGCTGTTCCAACAGCTGCGCCGGCAGATCGAACCGGCGACCGCCGCGTTGCAAAGTCCATCGTGCTCGGCGCTACATCGCCGCGGCCGCATCCCGACCCTCGCGACGATCGCCCTGACTCGCCGTCCCCGGCACCCTTCTCCTCCCCTCCCCTCTCCCGCGCCACCGCAGGACGAGTTCCACCCGTTCATCGAGGCGCTGCTGCCGCACGTGCGCGCCTTCTCCTACATCTGGTTCAACCTGCAGGCGCGCAAGCGCAAGTACTTCAAGAAGCACGAGAAGCGCATGTCGCGCGAGGAGGAGCGCGCCGCCAAGGAAGAGCTCCTCGCCGAGAAGGGCGACGTCAAGCAGAAGTGGGCCTCCCGCCTGCTCGCCAAGCTGCGCAAGGACATCCGTCCCGAGTGCCGCGAGGACTTCGTGCTCACCGTCACCGGCAAGAAGCCGCCCTGCTGCGTGCTCTCCAACCCCGACCAGAAGGGCAAGATCCGGCGCATCGACTGCCTGCGCCAGGCCGACAAGGTGTGGCGACTCGACCTCGTCATGGTCATCCTCTTCCGCGGCGTGCCGCTGGAGAGCACGGACGGCGAGCGGCTCGTGCGCTCGCCGATGTGCGAGCACTCGGGGCTGTGCGTGCAGCCGCACCACATCGGCGTCTCGGTCAAGGAGCTCGACCTCTTCCTGGCATTCTACATGCGCGAACAGGGTGAGAGGCGCGTGTGTGCGTGTGTGTGTGTGTGCGTGCGTGTGCGGGCGCACATTGTCTGCGTATGTGTGTGTGTGTTTGCAGGAGCGGTAGTGTCGCGGTTAGCGCGCTGCTCTACGAACCGTTCCTGGGCCTCTTCTAGGTCGACTCAGCCTCAAATGAGTACCTGGTGTATTGTGTAAACATCGCCACTGGGGAGACAAATGCGGCCTGGCGTGGTGCCACCCACCCCCTCGTGTACACTGCTGGCCTTCATAGGTGCTTACGAACAGCACTTACCCAAAACAGCCTGTTAAGGCTACGTGATAGATCTTTGTCTTTGTGTGCAAGCGAGTGTACCCTTGTTGGGTGTAGCAGTGGGGTAGTGCTTATCTCACTGCGCTACAAACCAGGCGTTCCCTCATTGTTTGATTCCTGACCACAGCTTACTTCAGGAGTGTTCATTTGAACAGATTCTAGCCCTCCCCGAGGTTGACCTGGTGTTGTCCCGGCCTTCACAGGCGCTCGCTAACAGCACTTGCCACAACAGCCAGAAATGGCTACACGGGAAATCTGTGTGCGTGACGTTTGTGGAACAGTGGGGGGGGGGGGCGGGGGGGGCACAGGTGCTGCATCTGCTAGTGATCTCGGGAGGTTAACCCGTAACACCTGGGCCTATCCTGTGACCTCCCGCCAGTGGGGCCTTCCACACTTCACGTGATAGCCTCAAAGTGGCACGTGCTATGTAGTGATGTCACCTTTGCTTAGTGGCGAATGGCGGCTATTGTTGTTGTTGTTGCTGTGTGTATGCGTATACAGGTTGTGGTTTGTAGAGAGAGGCGGTGTTACGCTTCTCGCATGGATCAACATCGGTGGCAAGCATAAATTTTGTCTTGGGCCTTCTGTAGGCTGACTCGATATCAGTTGAGGTACCGTGTGTGGTGCTAAATCAGTAGCACTGGGGAAACAAAGGCGGCCAGGCATGGTGCTCGCCACACTACAACCTCATGCGCCATACCGCCCTTAATATAGGAGTTAACCAACATCACCTTCCCCAAAGCCATCCGTGTCACTACACGGAGGCTCTTCGTCTAATTTGTGTGGTTGATTAGCGAATTGGGCTGCAAGACGCTCGCAACCTGCATTCACTTTGATTCCTTCTCGTGCACATCACGAGTGCCTGGTGTGGTGTGGTGTGGCACCATCGCCTGGTGTGAGTACCTGGTGTGGTGTGGTGTGGCACCATCACCTGGTGTGGTGTGGCACCATCGCCTGGTGTGGTGTGGCACCATCGCCTCGAGCGAGTGCCTGGTGTGGTGTGGGCACCATCGCCGCCAAGGAGATGAAAGCAGGCAGTTGTGCGTATGGTGCTGGCCCCATCTGTCTGCTGTTTCAACCGGAGTGGATGCTCGCCAACGGACGGCACTTGCAGCGGCAGCGCACGCCGGCTATCAGCGGTGGGATTCTTTGATCCCTGTGCGTGTGTGTGTGTGTGCACGTCTCCAACTTTCGCACGAACATAAGACGCCCAGCGTCCTGTTTTGCCGTTGTCAACAATCGATCATTGTACCTTAACTCCGCTGCGTAATCCCAGAAAAAAAACCCAGAAATGATTACGTGGTGGGTTTTAGTAATTATGTCGCTTAATTACGGCAATTACAGCCGTCGGTGAGAATGCACGTGAAATGCATGCGAAGTCTGAAGCAATTTGAAATACGCTGGGACCCTTTTCAAACTTGACCGTGACACATTTAGCAGGGACTTTGGATGCGATTAGCAGGCGGCAGACGGCCAGGGCCCCAAAGACGCGCGAGCCGGTGCGTGCGTCTTCGACACGGGGAGGGGGGGGCGACCGTGTCGTGTTGCAGTCTCAACAAAGCTGCACTGCAACGCTGACCGCACGCAGCATGGGTTCGATCCCTGGTCTCGGGCGCACGAGCAACGCCAAACAGAAGGGCATCCGAAGCCAACCCGGCGGTCTCTGCTGCAATGACTCGTCCTAAAACGAGTAACGTAAACCGCGTTCGGTCCGTTGACGGCGCGGAGTCTATTGTGGTGGTGGTGGTGGTGATGCGAGGACTTTGTTCACCCTGGCTGGCGACTTGGACCCACAATCGCAGAGTGAGAGGCCCGACGTAGAGAGCAATGACCGAACCTTCATGAGTTATACCCAGCGCGGTTCACCGTTGTTCCAAGGCCGTAACTCCCGCCCACGTTTGTCCGAGGCTGTCCACGCCAACGAAAGGAGACATTTTCGGTCCGTGCCAAATTGCCAAACGGCACGGCGTGGTATTTGAGCAGCAGCTGTCCGAGACGGATGATCGGAATTGTCATGACGGGAGAGGATAAGCAACGCAGAAGTCCGGAGGAGAATTTCTTGGCGAATGAGCGTTTGGGGGTACGGCGAGGCAGAGGGAGGGTTGTGCCAGGTAGGACGCGTTCGGTGATGGAAGAGGTGGAAGGGGGGTAGTTAACGAGACGGCTGTTTGAGTGGTCCCAACGAGTGCCCGCGACCAGGGCAAGAGCTAAGAGCTCATGGTGGGAGACTTGTTACGGCCGCCGACGTAGACGCAAAGCAACGACGACAATTTCACGTGGAGGTGGTCAAGCCGGGCGACCGCGTCGGCAGTGGGGGGAGGTTGTTGCCGCCGTGATGCCTCCTTCGTCAGAACGGATCTTGGAGGTCGCCGCTTCTCGATTGTGCGGCAGCTGCAGGGATGTGGCAGAGGGGAGAACGCGTTGGGACCGATGGCACGCGGTGCTGTGTCCATACGGCGACGTGTTTTATTATTGTGCGAATAATAGGATCCACACTTCTTTTGCGCCGTACGTAGCCAATGCGCTAAACGGAGGTGCGGGGGAAGGACGGCAAACGGAACACAAGAAGCGGTTCTCAACAAAAATGAGTTTTCAATCTCGAGTTGAAAGTGCACGGCTCCAGTGGCTTCCTAATATCGGAACGGAGCTTCCCACATCCAGCACGGACGCCGTCCCACGGGAATCTCCATCGAGCACACCGACTCTAAACGTTCGCACACACACGCGTGTGCCGTGAAGAAGGGCCAATTCACGAAACGTCGTCTGTTGTATTTTATTTATTCCTTTTGAAGGCTGCAGCATTACTGATGAACGTCTTGTGTTGCTTGTGCGCCGCTGCCAACGCAGCAGCAGCAGCAAGATCACCGGATAATTTGTTTAACACGCTTACCTACTGTGCTGTGTGTTCGTGAGCCATATGCCAATTTTCACCTCGTAACTCTTCAGCCAATTAACGATCTCACTCGCCCACCCCCTCGTTCAACGAAATTCCCGCGTATTGAATCTTTGTCTTACCGCAAGTTTTCGAGCAATTCTTGGGGGAGGTTATCGGAGGTAAATAAATAAACAGCGAAATAATTATTGGAAATTTGTTTTCAGTTCTCTCAAACCCTTCAAACGGTCCCCATAACAACAACAACAAAAACCTCCCAAAAAAACGCGACTCCCTAATTGTAGTTAATTTAAAACAAGCAATTGAGCGCGCGCTGGCATCGACGGAGATGACGGTGATTATGCCGCCGCGTTGACGTGAAGGGGCTGCTGCATGGACGGGATTAGGGCATCCTGCTCCCATGTGCCCGGCCGAGTTCATCGCTTGCAAACAAAGACAAGACAAAGATGTCCCCCGTAGCCTTCACAGACTGATGGGGGCAAGTGCCGTTAGCAAACAGCACCTCCGAAGGCTGTGGCCCGGCCCCCTTTGTCTCCCCAGTGGCGATGTTGACTACACACCGCACGAGGTACTCGTTTGAGGCCGAGTCGATCTAGGGGCACACCCAAGACCGATCCAAATAATTGTCACCGGTGTTGTCAGGAATCGAACTCTGGTCGCCGTCCTAACCGTTGCACCGCCACTCCCCGCACGCGCACACACGCACCCTCGTGTCTGACAGTGCCGACTCGTTCCAGTGCGGTTTCACGTGAACGCACGGCGCTTGCGTGCGCGAGGTTGGTGACGTAAAAAAAAGACGAGCAAGGAACAATAATTAATCCCAAGTTTTATAAAAAAAAATATATTTTATTTCGCGCGTGGGCGTGCGGGCGCGTGTGTGCGCTGCGGTTAATCACTCAGGGCCTGTGTGGGTGATGGTGGAATGTTTGACGGAGAGTGATGTGTAAACGCTTGGTTGCAGCATTTCCACGGTTATTATATCACTTTCAGCAGCGTTTAAATTCCTGTTCTGTTAACATGTAGGCTTTTGAGACCAATATCATCCATAATATAGATTTTTTTTGGGTTAGATCACGTAAATATATAAATGTGTCGTTGAACCCGCCACCACCCAACACGGCCAATAGTAAGGGTTGTCACGTGAACAGAACGTGCCAATTCGTCACCAGTACAGCGCACCGCGTGTTGGAGAGCACATCCACAACATTTACAATCTGAGCACGACGTAGTTACTGGCGAAGCGTCGTCCTCGGATTGTAAACGTCGTGGATTTGCCCTCCGGTTGTTCTGTCTGGCGTCGTACGCGGCAACGCGCACGAGATGAATCCGCGCTCGATTCCGTGGCTCGTGGCGGACGTTCCCTCAAAGCCCGTTTGAAAAATCAGAAGCGCCGCGCTCGCGCGTGCGCACGCACACAACAGGCTCCGTGATTTCTTGGAACGAGGTCACACGGCTTTGACAGCCACTGGTGATGTGGTGGGGTGGAAGGCCCTCAGCAGGAATGATGTTGGGGTGGGGGGGGAGGCCGGTGGGGGGGGGGGTACCGGTGGGCCGGCCAGCTCCTTCAATGGATGAACTCCTCGTGAGATGACTGAAGAGATGAAGGAGAAAGAGATGGAGATGCAGTGAGATGAGAGCCGCAGGTGCGACAGGGGTGTGGTGGAATGAGAGAGATGTGGGCGACGCGTGTGTGGGTGTGTACAGTTTGACGCGTAGTAGTAGTAGTACGCTTTCGCGACCAATATTCATCGTAATAATGGTTTTTATGGGTGAGTATAAACGTGTCGTTAACTCGCCACCACCCGACACT